AGACAGCAAAGTAGACCAAACAAAGCCCTATCATCAGCATCCACCCAGAATCATGTTTGCTACTGTGTATGTATGCAGGGAGGCTCAGCCCATAGGGCTTCCTCACCCCTTCTCAGAAAACTCCAAAGAGGGCCCTTTCCCTTTTAGGTCTGGAATGGGAGACAGGAGAGGACAGTGAGGAGAGGACACTTGCCTTGTGGCCACCTGTGGGGCACATCACATTTTATACAACCCTTATCTTTTCATTTAACAGCTTGTGTACTTAGACTGCTGTGGGCCAAGCTGTGGATAGCACATGGGGGCATAAAAGGAAATAATTTCATGGTTCCTGCTATGGAGGCTCATATCATAACAGCTGGGAAGGGGATGCGAGCTTCTAGACATCAACCAAAATCAATACATGAAAATGTACTGACTGTATATGTTGTAAAAGTGCGATTTAAAAAAGTGTGATCAGTAATAAACCATGTATACACATTCTTAAGAGACTTTGGAGTAAGAAGTATGTGATAACAGTGTGATTAGTTTTAAAGCACATGTATAAATGTTGCAAAGCCCTGAAGTAATAATATTTATAAAGAGAACAAGTGAAATTATTCAGGGAAGACATCCTGAAGAGGCAACTGGTAAAGGGAAAAGCATGAACTCTGGAGACAGTCACACCTAGGTTCTAAACCTGTGTGCAGACAGTGGAGGCAGTCCCTCTCTAGTTAGCAGTGCTTTGCTTTTCTCTTCTGTGAGCTTGAGGTAGCAGTACCTCTTAGGGTGCTCGTGTGCGTGAGAGAGCCTGTGTGTAAGGCACCAGGCAGAGTGCCTGGCAATATTGGGTGTTCAGTGCACACTAGGTGCTCATATCCTAGAAAAAAGTATGTCAAACTAGTTTTACAAGTAGTTTTCAGCCATGAAAATTGGCAAAGTAGAGAAATTTGCAAGTGTGGGCACAGCTTCAAGGAGAGGCGAGCAGGAGAGAATTGACAAGGTCAAGGGTCTGGGCATGGTTAGTTTGGCTTGGAAAGATTGGGAGAGCCTTGTATTCCCATCTTAGGGATTCCAGATGGCAAAGAAAGGCAGCAGGGAGGGAAAGGAATGATGAAAATGGAGTTTTGGGTTATCCCAGGCTTCCTGGGCTAGTGGGGCAGGTAGAAGGCTGTTGTGGTATTTGGAGAGTGACAGAGGCAGGTCCAGGAACAGAAAAAGCAGAGATTTTCTTGTTCCAGCTGGGAATGGAAATGGAATGGTGAGAGGTGATTTAGCACAGGTGACTCATTTCATTTTATTTTATTTTCTTATCCTCGACTGAAGAGATTTTTTTACCCTCACCCAAGGACATTGTATTTTTTTCTTTTATTTTATCCTCAGCCCAAGAGAAGAAGGGAGAGAAACATCAATGTCAGAGAGAAGCATCAATTGGTCATCTCCCGCATGTGCCCCGACTGGGGATCTGGCCTGCAACCTACATATATGCCCTGACCAGGAACTGAACCCACAAACTTTCTGTTACAGAATGACACTCCAACCAACTGAGCCACAGGTGACTCATTTTACAGGTGACAAAACAGTAGAGGCTCACAAGTGGAAGGGGCTAGTACAGAACGTCAAAGACTTCTATTACTGGTTATTGTTAGGCCTGAAGCTAGGGTCCCTATTCCCTGATTCCTAAGCCCAGAACTACTTCCACCGCCCCACAGCAGCCTCCTAAGCAGTCAGCGGGAAGGACGATTCCTGTGGACAGGATCAGGGTTCAGTAGCTGTGGAGCCTTTTTCCTGCCACCTTTGTCAGAGTGCCTCCCTGACAAGTCCAGCCTTTTTCTCTTTAGGACAGTACCTTCTGAGTTAATCTACTTAGGAAGTTCATTGATAACTACAGTTCTCCAAAGTTGTGATTTAAAGTGTATTCTCTCTTCTCTAAATTACATTTACATTCCCATAGCAGGTGCTTAAAGGCAAAAGAGCCTGCAAGATTTTAAGGATTGTTTTCTTAAGAAGGTACAGTCCACAGGTTGGCTATTTTGAGCTGGGATTCCTCACTGGCAGATCCTGAATGGACCTGATTTGTTTTTCTTCCACCTGATTTAAATCCCTTTAATCTATTAGCCTCTTATTCTTGTCATTTACTCAACCTGGATATTCACAATATTTAGTAACACCTATAAAGCACCAAACACTGCTTGGCAGGGTCCAGGGTCCACATTTTAGCTAAGACTCAAAGTGATAAGGACAAAGACAGGAAAGAACTGAGTATCATGGGAACACACATGGGGAAAGGGGGAGATGCCACTGGAAAGGTTCCTGGAGGAGATGGTCTGAATCTTGAGAGATTAGTTAACCAGACAAAAGTGGGTGGGTAGAAGGTAGGCACGACATTCCTTGGGCAAAGGCCCAGAGACTATAGTCCCAGTCACAGGTTAACGGACAACAGTTGAATGACAGTGGGGAGAGCTGCTTCCAGTTGGATCCTTGTGGGGAAGCAGAGGCCCCATGTGTGCCTTTGGTTCTATCAGGAATGTGCTGGGTGCTCCTTCCTGAGACCGTGGCTATGGTGAGAGCCTCCCTCCTAATACATGTGTAGGGGAGGAGGGCAGGTTGGAAACCCCCACATGCCCACACTCAAGAGGTCCCAAGTGCATCATAGGTCACAGAATGAGGGCCTGTGAAGATAGTACTTTAAAAACTCTTAAAGATAGTTACCATTATTAGAATTTAGGGAGATGTCAAATAAAGTATATTTCTTGCTTCTCTTGAAAAATCACAGTATCTGGTATCACTGGTCTCCCAAGATGATAGTGGAATAGAGCTAAGGAACAAAGTGGGCTTGGGTGGGGGCTTCAGACAAAGCTTGAATTTATTCTCCAAGATTAGCACAGCCCCTGTCCAGCCATCCTCACTCACGGATTTCCTGGCCCCACCTTCTATTACCTGGTGTCCATTGAACTTTAAATGGCTCCTCCTTGCTCATTGTGGTAAATAAAGTCACCTTTGCTTCAACCTACCCAGCTCCACCCCTCTTATCTGATGGGCTCGGGGTGGCCTGTCAGGTTTACTGGACAAGAGTTGAATAAAGGCCTGCCTGTATGTATGGGACTAATGGTGGGGAGTGGTAGAGCCAGGCGTCAGCGGGGAACAAAATGACTTGGAGCTGATGGGGCCAGAAGACCAGGCTCCTATCAAAGCAGAGGATAGGACTGGCTGCACATCTGGAGTACACTTGTTTGCACAAGATTGTTATCCAGGGTTCTAGTTAGACTGAGCTAAAATGTTTTTCTTGCCAGCTCTGTAAAGAAATGATATGGAGAGAAAGCCAGAATTCATCAGGGTTGCCCTTCTCAGCTTCATCACTTCTCTCTTCTTGGAAGAGAGGGCAGGTGGGTGTGATTCCACAGCTGGGCAGAATGGAGGAAAGCAAAGTTGTTACTGGAAAATCCCTTTCCCACCCACTTTGTGTGTGAATGAGCACGTATCCCAGTTTGGTATTAATCCACAGGCAGACCATGGAGCCAGCAGGTCAAAGTTGCTCTGTGGCCGAGATCAGTTGTCAAACAAGGGCACCGTGTATTTCAGCAAGAATGGCAGAGGTCAGACACGAGTTCCTTCGTTCAGCAGGTTCTTATGGGCTGCATATAACACTAGGATGGGTTTTGGGACTGTGAAGTTTTTAAACAAAGGATTGAAAGTCATCTTTCTATGGGAGAGGACACAGACTTGCTTGGAAGGTGTTAAACTGTAGCTATTTTGGGAGGCACTAGAAGGAACTATTACTTTAATAGTGGCTTCCTCCCAGTTACCAGAATGCCAGAGTGTCCTTAGTCATCTAAGGACCAACTTGGAGGACCTCGAAGAGATGAGGTTAACTTCTACTTAAAACCACAATTCTCATTTATTGAGTACTTAAGTGTGAAAATCACTAATTCTCAGTAGTTTATTGATCTCATTTAAACCTCGTAACAAGATTGTGAGATGGATTCTATTCTTAATCCACTTTTACAAATGGGGAAATGGAGGCCTGCTTGGTGAGGCAACTGGGCCCAGGATGCACAGCTGCTAGGCGGGTGGTAGAGCTGATGAGATCCCTTCAGTCAGCCTCACACCAGAGCCCGAGTGCCTCACCTGTTTGCAGCTGCCTCACTACCTTGGAAACAGAAAACTTACCAAGCAGGAGTGTGATACAAACCAGAGAAGATTATTCTTGTACTTCCCAGCCCCCTAAAACCCTTCAATTCAACTAATTGAAAATGATGATAATCACTGTGCTAATTTACCCTACAGTGATTGCTAGGATAATGGAGATGAATCAAAAGCTGAAGAAAGGAACAGTCATTTAAACCAACCCCCTAATTTCTGACACAGGAAAATTGTGGGGCTTGTTCAAACTCACACAGCTGGTTAGGAAGAAGAATCCAGACTACCACCCATATATTCTCCCTCCTGGTCCAGAACTGTCTCTAGTGTGCCATGCTTTGAGGGGTGGGGGTGCTGGCACTGGCCTGGAAACCAGGAGGCCTATCTTCTCTTACCAAAGGTTGCTAAAGGATCAGATGTCAGACTCACAGATGTGGGTTTCTTCCTCCTGGGGCTTGTTTCCTGCAGCATCATGGCCTCCCCCACCCAAAGCTCCTTATCAGGAGTTAGGATGGGCTCTTAATCTGCAGCTCCCAGGGCCTTGTCTACACACTTTGGGCTGTGCATTATCATCCAGAAACAGCTGACTGAGCACAGGTCTCCCGTTGCTCAGTCAGGCCGGCACTATTTACCAACTGGGAACTCTGGGAGCAGAGTGACCAAATAAAGGTCAGTCCCTGACACATAAAGCTACCACTTACAACTCTGGGAACTGCCCCTGTACCTCAGCTGGCCAGGTGGCACACTCTACCCATGTTGAATCTGGTCAGCTCTAAAGCAAATAACACATTGCTCGATCCCTTTCGTGTAAATTTAGGGACTATTTAGTCTGCCAAGAGCAGCTCCAAGATGGACCTGCCATTCTGCAGTTCCCTGGCTTGGAGACATGTGTGAGGATGTCCCCTTACCCTCTACACAAGCTTCTGTGAATTTCAGTCTTTCTACTAAATGAAATATTCTCCATGAGTGGGGCTTATTAAGAAAAAAGGTAGATGCTGACTTTGTACTAAATAAGAGAATAGCACTCTTAGATGGGCAAAAATTCAACCTTAACCCTGGGTCCTTACACCCAAAAAAGTGGGTCCTTATAGTGCCCAGGACATTTGTATTAGGAGCTACAAATGAAAATGGAAACATTTCTTTAAATAACAACTCCTTGAAACAAGTGGGTCCCCATAACCAATTGTATTTGATACAAAGGAGCTGGCTTCCTCCATCCCCATATCCTGGCTCACCTACCCTCCCAGTGTATCACACAGAGCCTCCAAGGCCCACCTGCCACCTAGGACACTTAGGTTAAACTACAAGTTTGTTGATTAAAGTTGTGGAGGTGTGAAATGAAAGGTATGTGTTGGGCGGGGGGTGGGGGGGCGCCAGTTGTTCATGTTTAAAATTTAAAGAGAGCACCTATGGCCAAGAACATTATAAAAACAAACAAAAAAAAACTAGCTCAGATCAAAAATATACTTCTGACCTCAGTGGAAACTACTGAGGTCTAACTTTTCTTGTCTAATAAGATGAGGCTGGTGGTTCCAGCAAAGGGTAATTCCAGAGAGGGCAGAAGACCCTTACAAGAAATTTCTAACAATTCTGCCCCAACCTGGGAAAGGGCTTGGTATCTTCTGCTTATCACCTCAGTCTGTGTGTCTTAATCATCTTTAGTATTTCTAGCGCCAAGAACTGACAATATATTCTTGCTGAAAGGTGAATACAACTAAGGCCTAGCAAGAACAGGATGTGTAAGATGGGCCCTGGCTGAATTAAGTGCTTAGCTACAAGAATGCTGTCTGAGTCTAGCATTTTCACAGGGAGCTGTTAGAATATGCATTAAAGGAAGTAAATAAGGAGCTACTTCCTAGGGAAGAGGTGATGCTTGGAAATGCTGTGGCCACACATCTTAGATTCTTCTTTTACCTAGCCACAGGATATAGGCCTTCTGAGTGCAACTGAAGACACAAAGAGAAGATTTGGGTCTGAAAGACACCCAAATTAGTGATGTGGGAATTTTACCTTCTCTGCATTACACAACTTCATCTGCTACAGTTTTATTAAAATAACAAAAAAGTGTACACTTGCCTGTAGAACTGTACATTCTTCCATATAAAAACACTATTATACAATTAGTAACCTTTGTTTTTTCTTTCAGAATAGCTTACAAAAGCACTACTATTTTTTACCTAATAGGAGAGACAGGCCTGCTCAACAGTCCAGCTCTGGGCATTTTTATTTTTTTAAAGTGAACATCAAAAAAGAAGAGAAGAGAGAACAGATTAAGCATACGATCATGAGGCTGTTTCTATAAAGGCAGGGACCTGTTTGCAGACAAAATGCAATGTAATCTTCAGTGATTCACAGCTTTGTTTAAACCCACCAGCCAGAAAATAAGCTCTTGGGTCTGGGCCCGAAGTTACCTTTAAAGCAATAAACACTGTAAGCAGGGTTTGGGAAAATAGCTTGGATCTGGAGAGTTGAAAAGGAGGCAGAACAGACAGGAATGGGTTGGGAGAGTGGTAAATAGCACCTGTGAGTCAGAATGAGTAGTTAAGAAACCCAGGAAAGGGGGATGCAATGGGGAGGAGACTAGTAAGAGTGGTGGTAATTGGGGGAGGCTCCTCACTAACGGGCAATAGCAGGAGGGCAGCCAGGTTGGCCAGATGTTCCAGCTATGTCCTTTTTAAGGTGACTCAGGTTAGGGAATTCAAGGCCTTCTGAGGGCCCCTTACTAATGTCACTGAGAAACCAAAGGTAGTTTTCCATTTTTTTCACCAACCCAGAACAGTAAATATTGCACAAGTCTATAGACACATTTGGATTGCACTGAGAGACAGCAACCTCTCCCAGAGGTGCTATGAGCACCAGGGAGAAAAAACAATGCCCAATGTTTGGTTTTTAGTGTCGGCCCTACAAGAATACCAAGTAATCCTACAGAATTTGGGGCTTTCTCTTGATCAGCCACGGGATACCTGCAAAGCTGAGCAGCCAACTACAGTTCTGAGGACAGAGAGATGGCTCCCTCAGCCCACCAGAGCACCAGGAGTTTCTGAGGGCCAGTTTCCCACCTCCTTCTGGGACTGGGAAGCCATATTGCACAGTGATTGAGAACTCTTGTCCTAGAAAATAGGGTAGCTCCATGACCCAACCAGATGGGAGAAGAGTAGGCAGAGTTAGAGAGGAGTGTTGTACTTTTTAAAAGGAGGCAGTGATAAAGGACCTGGAGTTCCCTATAGCTTTTGAGCCACCTCTTAAAGGGATAATGGAAGCAGCATTAGGACTTCCATGTGGTTCCAAAACGAAGGGTTTTGGCCTAAAAAAGAAAAAGAAAAAAACCCAGTGGATATTCTTTGGGTCCTAAAATTCCATTGCATATCACCCCCAAATTGTTCACCAGTTACACACACAGCAGCACATTGCAAAGCAATCTCTGCCTTACTCACTCCCCTGACCCCCACAAAATAAAAAGCTTTAGATTCCTGGCTGGGAAGCAATATCTACATCTAGCCCCTGGGGATAGAATTTAGTGATGATTTTAAGAAAAGCTGCTTAGGACAGAAGGAATCGCTCTCTGCCCAGGATCTCAACAGAAAAACAAAAGTGAGGATTAGGCAGCAGGAGTTAAGTTCATGAAAGCCCCTGAGGTCAGGGCTGTAAGGAGTCTTGGTTGGGAGAGTGACAAATTTGAATCAGCCTCCCCCCCACCCCCAGGGCAGATCCTGATCTCTCTCATTCACAGCTGTTAACCATGCTTGCTCCCTCTCACATCTTCTTGAGGTGCTGGTCAAGATTCCTCCACCTCACCTTGGTCAGGTCCACCCCTACACACTCCCTGCTCCCATAGGCAGACACTGGCTCCCAGACTGAAGTGCACAACAGTTGTCTCCAAAGGCACCTGGGAAGGCTGCTTCCAAGCAGCACCCTTTAAGGACTTTTTTCTTTAAAAATCTTTAGGTTTTTTTCCTCCCTTTTCTTAAAAAAATAATATATATAAATAGCTCTTCATTTAAAATATAGTTCCCCAGGTTGAGGTATGACGTGGCCTGTTGTCACGGAAGGATGAGTACAGTAGAGTGCGAGGTGAGGGTGGCAGGGAAGCTAACTGGAGACGGCCATCACATAGTTCTTGGAGGGGCTGCTCCGGCCCAGCATCATTTGGTTCTTGCAGGTGAGGAGTCCATAGGCAACCAGCGGGGCCTCCTCATACAAGACGCAGATAGAGCCATCCTCCCCTATTCGGTAGGATACCTCATAGGGGTCTACCCACAGAGTGAGCTCTCTGGGCAGCAGCTGGTGCAGCTGGGGCTGGCTGAGTCCAATCTGGCTGGCCACCTTGCTTATGATGGGGTCCATCTTGTGGTTGATGCGGATGCAGCGGTAGCCAGAGCCCTTGGATGGCTTCTCGGGAAACCAGTGGTGTTTATAGTGCTCTGTGGAGACAGGTCAAGGGGGAGATGCCTTGGTTAGAGCAGCTGGAACAGGGGGGTGCTACTACTGCAAAGGAGGGGTAGTGGTGAAGGGATAAAGGACAGGAAAGGACCCAGTGATTTTCACTCGACAAGGTGGTTTGTCTTGATTTCCCGTTTCAAAGGCAGGAAGGCAATCGTCATGGTTAGATCCACAGCAAATTACTGCACCTCCCACCCTGGGCCCCACAGTCTCCTCCTATCTCCTTAAAGAGTCAGAGCCCCTTAGCAACTGGCTGGCTAAGGGATCAAAAACGGTTGTTTTAATGAAACATATGTTGCTCCTCAGAAGATAGAACCTGTGTGGGCACATTCAGAGATGGCTGTCGCTGCCCAACACCGCCGACCAAGGGGCTAGAAACATTTGGGGGACAGGACTCTTCCCAGCCAGCCGCTGCCTATTTCTTGTCCACCTCCCTGTCTCACGCAGCCCCCACCCCACAACACACACTCCCACAGAGCACAGTTACTATCTACAAGGCTCCCTCGTCACCGTAATAGATAGCAGATGGCTTCGGGGATTAGAGAATACAAAAGGAGCCGATTCCAACCGGGAGCAAGTCCACAACGCGCCCGGGACCGGCGCTCCGCGCACAGCAGGAAGAGCCAGGCCTGGGATTCCAGTTGTTGAGAAGGCTCGAGCGCACCTTCGTCTCCCAAAAGAGCTTCTCTCGCGGGCCGGGACTTATCACCCGCCGCGTCCTTCGGACTCTCAAAGTCCAGTGAGGAAGATGAGCCCGCACTCAGACCCGCAGGGACCCTCCCTTCCAGGCGTAAGCCGCGGGGGTCGGAATCGCACTCCAGAACAAGAGTCTGTCCCCCTGCGTCCCACAACAATCACCAGGGATCGAGACTTAAGCGCAGGGCTGGGAAGGGAGACGTGATCCGGGACCTGGAGACCTCCGGGCCGCCCTCCGGGCCGGAGGGAAATCGAGACCCGGAGCTGCTCGCTGAGGAGCCCTGCCGGAAGGAGGACATGTAGAGAGGGGGGCTGAGCCCCGGTGGCGGGGTGCGACGGGCCTGGACCCGTTGGTGTGGGCTCACCTGTTAGTGCCTCCTGGAGAGCCCCGCTGAACACCTTCAGTCTCTGCTCGCTCACACAGCCTCGGGTCCTCAGGAGGCTGGAGAGGAAGCCTACGGCGGCGGCGATCTCAGGGAGCATGTTTGTCCTCTTCCCTGTCCAGGAGGCCTGACTCATATTGTGCCCGGTTCGGCGTGCGGCAACAGGGAAATAGGAGAGATCCGCTCGGGTCGTACCTCTCTCCAGAAAGGGGCTTCTTAGCCGCCGCTGGGGCTCTACCCCGACTGCCGTCCGGATGCGCCTTTCATACCCTGCCGAGAGGCGGGGTAGCCAGTGGCCTCTCTCATTGGTCGCTGCCAGCGGATAGGGGCGGGGCCGCTGCCCCGCTGCTCCCCGCGCGCACTACGAACCCGCCCCTGCCACCCCCGCGCTGAGGTCATTGCCCGCTGACGTCAGTGCTGGGAACTTGAGCCCCGCGCGCAAGTCGAGGGAGGAGGGAAGAGAAAGGGGAGCCTCAGAGTGGCGAGAACAGAGCTAAGGAGGAGAGCGACGCCCAGTTTGCTCCAAGCCCGGAATGCCCCGACCTTTTCTCTCCGCCCATCCTTCAAGACTTAGGTTAAAGCCACCTCCTCCAGGAAGCCTTCGCTGATAGCACTTCTCCCAAACGGTCCCCTTTTCCGATTCCCACATTTTCCAGCCAGGACTCTGTCATCATTTTACCGCTTTGCCATGTTTCTTAACTAGTGGGAACGGGTTCTTCTTGGCTCTTTGGAAGTAGGACTGCCTTCTATTTACTTCCACAAGAATCTCCCTTCCCTCAATAAGTTCTGCTCTTCTACAGCGATGCCTTTTCTCTAGCCTAGAAATATCCAACTCTCACCTATTTGGTGCGTGAGTGCGTGGTGTAGGGGAAGTTTGCAAGCCTTTTCTGTCCCCTCAAGTTATTTTTCTAGTTCTGGCTTTACTTTAAATTCCTTTATTATTATTTTTTGATAAATGGTCTGCTCTCGACCGTACACATTTTTCCATCTCTTTCTCGTGTTACCCTCCTTCCCCACTCTCATTATGGACTGAAGCTTTCAGCCTCAGAATCTTCTTCCACACGCAGGTGTGTGCCCAGAGCCTGGCACTCTTAAAAGTCAGGGATAACTTCTAACCAACATCCCAGGGCCTGGCATACAGGTATACTAAATAGACCAAACCCAGTGGCCTCTGTAAATTCTCCTTTTTCTTGAACTCTGGGCCCCACTGACCACCTTATTCTGGGGGGAAGTCTCCCCTCCTTTCCTTTGACAGGTGCAGTCTTCCCTGCCTCCTTAGCTAGATGTCTTCCTGTCCCCCATTTCCTTATCATGTCCACCCCTCTTTCCTTTCCTCTCCACATTCTTTATCCTATTCATATTGTCCATGTTGATGCTCACTTTTTAACAACTGACTTTCACATCTGCGCAGTCTGTCCTTGTTCCTTTTCATCCTGCTCCTCCTACTACCAGTGCTGTTCCTACCATTGGATGGCCAGCTACCAGCTCAATGTTAGTCTAGGCCAGTTCTCTTCTCCAAAACCAGCTCCTTCCTGATGACCATTTCCCTAGTCACTCCACCCACAAAACTGAGTCTTTTTTGGCTTTTCCTTGTACTCCTTAGATATAGTCCCAAGACCTGTTGCTGCTGCTGCTTCTTTATAAGATTTTATTTTTATTTATTTACTTTTTAGAGAGAGGGGAAGGGAGGGAGAAAGAGGGGGAGAAACATCAATGTGTGGTTGCCTCTTGGACACCTCCTACTGGGGACCTGGCCTGCAACCCAGGCATGTGCTCTGACTGGGAATTGAACCTGTGTCTTTTCAGTTCGCAGGCTGGCTCTCAATCCACTGAGCCACACCAGCCAGGGCTATTGATTATGCTAGTACAGTTGTCCTAATTTTTCTCCCTTTGTCTCCCTCTGCCTGGTAACCGCCCCCCCCCGCCGCCCCGCCAGCAATCCCCTACTTAGTTCATGTCCATTGGTCATGCGTATAAGTTCTTTGGCTTCTCCATCTCCTATACTATTCTTAACTTCACCCTGTCTATTTTGTTCTTACTAAATTTGCTTCTTAATCCCTGCACCATTTCCCCATTCCCCCCTTCCCCTTCCCAGCTGATAACCCTCCACACGATCTCCATATCTATGATTCTGTTCTTGTTCTGGTTGGTTGCTTAGTTTGTTTGTTTGTCTTTAGATTCAGTTGTTGATAGTTGTGAATTTGTTACCTTTTTAATATTCATGGTTTTGATCTTCTTTTTCTTTTCTTTTCTTTTTCTTTTTTTTTTTTTTTCATTTTGCAAGGAGTAGTTTATTTGGAAGGTGATTCTGGGTAATGTTGGGAAGGGGACTGGAAACCAGGACAGGGAAGGGGAGGCAGCCAGTCAATAAAGGGTGCATTATGGGCAGGTTACCATTGTAAGTGGCTGGGGCTCAAATTCTGAGAGCCAGTGTAAAAGGTGCCCTTCAGTTACCTTACCTGAGAAATCTGGATCTGGGAGAGTTATACACCAACTTCCATCCATTGTTGGTAGGTAGCTGTTGGGGATGGTAGTGCTTTAATTCTCTGGCCCCTCTAGTTGACCAGGCTCCAGGGGGTCAAGTAAGCCTTCAGGAAAAGGAACACAGGTTCTGAGGGTTGGAAGTCAGGATCCCAAAATGGCAAGACCCCAGGGCACAACAGAATCTGCCACAAGCGTTGACCATGGTGAACGCAAGCATGCTTGTAGCTGAATTTTACCGAGCAAGAATGTGAACCTAGGGTTGCCAGTCATTTGGATTTCTCAAAAAAAGCTGAACATTGAAATTTTTAGGTGAAATTTTTCAAATTGTAAATGTTGATGACAAATCCAGAATTTTTAAAATACACTATAGGAGCCAACCCAAGCATGTCTGTGGGTTGGATCAGGCTGACAAGCAGCTAGATTATGAAATCTGAACAACCCTAAAGGCTGATCTTGGTTTCAGACGATTCTTGCTCAAGGCAAGCTCCAAAGATTAAGTCTGATAAAGGAGGGTAGATGTATTAGTTAGGGAGTAGATGGAATTGATGCAATAAGTAGACCCCACCCCCTCAATTTAGTATTGGTAACCAGAGAGAAGTATGTTTCTCGTAGAACAGTCTGGAAGTAGGTAGATGCTCCAGGACAGCTCTGCTGCATGAAGTTGTTCAGGGACCCAGGTTCCTCCTCTGCTGCTTGTTGTCTTCATCCATGTAGTCATGACTGGCTCACCAGTCCACATTCCAGCTTTTGCAACAGCATGGATGGACCTGGAGGGTATTATGGTGAAATAAACCTCTCAGGATTCTGAGGATTAAATGCATTAATCCTGGAAACCCTGTCCCATAACAAGTACTCAATCCATATTGGCTGCCCTTGTTTCCATCTACTGCTCCCAGCAGCCCCTCTCTCCTCACTTCTTCTTTAAACTCTAGTTAGTGAAATGCTAATCTGATCTTCTTTTTTTTAAATAAGTCCCTTTAACATTTCCTGTAATAATGGCTTGGTGGTGATGAACTCCTTTAGTTTTGCCTCATCTAGGAAGCCCTTTATTTGTCTTTCCATTCTAAATGACAGCTTTGCTGGATAGAATAATCTAGATTGTAGGACTTTGTTTTTCATCCCTTTGAATACTTTTTGCCAGTCCTTTCTTGCCTGAAAATTTTCTTTTGACAAATCAGTTGATAGTCTGCTGGGAACTTCTTTGTAGGGAACTCTCTGTTTTTCTTTTGTGGCTTTTAAGATTCTTTCTTTAACCTTTGGCATTTTAATTATGATGTATCTTGGTGTGGTTCCTCTTTGGGCCCATCCTGTTTGGGTCTCCCTGTGCTACCTGGACTGGTATATCTATTTCCTTCACCAAATTAGGGAAGTTGTTCTTCATTATTTTTTTCCAAATAAGTTTTCAATTTCTTGCTCTTCCTCTTCTCCTTCTGACATCCCTATGATTTGGATGTTTGCATGTTTGGTTGGAGATGTCCCAGAGGTTTCTAAGCCAATCATCATTTTTTAAAAAAAATTCTTGTTTCTTCTTTCTGTTCTGGTCAAATATTTATTTCTTCCTTATGTTCCAAATCATTGGTTTGAATCCCAGCTTCCTTCCCTTCTCTGTTGGTTTCCTGTGGATTATTCTTTATTTCACTTAGTATAACCTTCATTTATTCCTCTATTTTTTTTGTTATACTCAAGGAGTTCTCTGAGCATCCTTATAACCAGTGTTTTGAACTCTCCATCTGATAGGTTGGCTATCTCCATTTAGCTTAGTTCTTTTTCTGGGATTTTGTTTTATTCTTTCATTTGGGCCACATTTCTTTGTTTCCTCAATTTAGCAACTTCCCTGTGTTTGTTTCTGTGTATTAGGTAGAGCTCCTTTTACTCCCTGTCTTAGTAGTGTGGCCTGCATAGAAAAGGCACCTGTACATTGTGTGGGGCAGAGCCTTAGGTAATTGTAAGGTTGGGCACCTGCCTCACTGCTAAGTGGCTGTGTGGGGAGGGCTTGGAGAGGGGACAATGCCACTACCTGGCTTCTGGAGGTTTGCTTGTGCTTGCCCCATTTCCAATCACTTCCCTTCCTTCCCCTGTGTGACTGGTGCACTTCCAGCTACTTCCTGGTGGTGAATCCTGGAGTGGGTGGGTTTGTGTATGTTTTAAGACCCTATTGGCCCCTTAAGCAGCAAAAACTCAGCAGTTTCTTCTGCTACCCCACCGCGGCCAGTTTTTATAGCCAGAGGTAATGGGGATCTATCTTCCTGGTACTGGAACCTTGAACTGTGTGGTCTGGCCTGGGGCTGGGATCACTCACTCCTAAGGTATCCCTCCTGTCCATTCCACTGCCTCCACCACCGCTGCCTCCACCACCACCTTTCAGCACCACACCACCTCTCTGCCTGTCTCTGTGACTCAGCCCCTCCTACCTGTCTGATTGAATGAGTCTCCTTTAAATCCTTGGTTGTTGGAATTCTATACAGCTTGATTTTCTGATGGTTCTGGGTGTTACTAGTTTTGAGATCTGGTTGTAATTCTTTTTATGGTTGTCTGAGGAGGACAAGCGTGTCTACCCATGCCTACATCTTGACTGGAAGTCCTGTTCCTTCTTCATATCCAGGTCACTGCAGTAGACTCTGTCAAATCATCTGTCCCACTGTTCATAGAGTTCTGCATTTAATTCCTCTTCTTTTGCTCAGATCACCTAAGGTACCTCTCTCCCCCATTTATCTACTGCATTAAGTCTGGACCCCTTTGTCTAATAGTTAAGATCTTTCCTAGTTTGGCCC